ACTAATGTGTCTTTTTGTTTTTGCATACTTGTTGGTAAGTATTCCTTATATTCAATCAAGTGGTTGTTGTTCAAACTAATAAAGAAGGGGGAGATGTGGGACATACGAAAACAAAGCACTTTGATATGTAAAAGACCTTGGGATGAGTAAACAAGCTCAGCAGCTACTTGCGCCAGGCGTAAACGTGCATGAGGCGCCTGGCGAGTACACATGACCAAGGGTTTGTTGCAGGGGTATAAAAGGTTGTGAGTTCCTACAGTAAAGATCTTTGTCCTGCAATAGCAGCAGAATCCATGCTAGTTGCCACTGGCATTGATGTTTTATGGGGTCTGGCTCTCCAGCCAACTGTAGGAGAGTTCAGACTCTGTGAAAGGTGTGTTAGTGCCTGGGTGGTGCAGGTGATGTTGAGAGGCCATGTGAAGCATGAGAACCACGCTGGATTACTAATGTGAAGCAGTATAGACTCCCACAGCAGGGCAAGATGAAATATTGAGGACTGTGCTGGAATTAGAAAAAGCTGGGATCATAAGATCTGCACATAGCCTATATAATTCCCATATGGCCAGTATGGAAGTCATATGGCACATGGAGAATGACAGTAGATTACGGAGAATTAAATAAGGTCACACCGCTGTTCATGTAGCCATAACAAATATCGCTTCCCTAATGGACACATGGAGTAGGGAGATAAAAACTTTGTGTCTAGGACACCATTGTGGAATGCATTCTTCAGTATTCCAATTGGTGAAGAATCGTAGGACCAGTTTGCATTTACATGGGGAGGCAGGCAGTGGACCTTTCAGGTCCTGCCACAGGGGTTCATGCATTCACCAACATTTGCCATAACCTGGTGGTGCATGATGTGGCAAATTGGGGAAAACCTAGTAATGTTAACTTACTATTACACTGATGATTTCATGTTGATATCCGACTCACTGGAGGCATTAGGACAGACAGCGGATTCATTGACCACCTACCTGCAGGGAAAAGAATGGGCTATAAACCCTCAGAAGATGCAAGGTCTGGGCCTGTCTGTAAAATTCCTGGGGTAGTTTGGTCAGAAAAGACTGAAGTACTACCCAGTGCTGTCATAGAAAAGGTTCAGGCATTTCCAGTCCCTACAGCATCAAAGCAGCTGCTGGAGTTCTTAGGTATATTGAGATATTGGCGTTCCTTTATACCTCATTCAGTGCAGCTGCTAAGGCCATTATATAGACTCTCAAAAAGGGGCAACTGTGGGACTGGGGGAGAACGGAACATGAGGCTTTCCAACAGGCGAAACTGGCTGTTAAACAAGCCCAAGTGTTAGGTGTATTTGATCCTACCCTCCCAGCTGAATTGGACACCCATGTCACTAAGGGCAGCTTTGGCTGGGGTCTGTGGCAATGCTGGAATTCCATTCGGATCCCAGTAGGGTTTTGGTCTCAGATCTGGCACAGAGCAGAAGAAAGGTACAATATGATTGAGAAGCAGTTATTGGCTGCCTATCCTACGTTGCAGGCGGTAGAGCCAATAACTCAAACAACCAAGACTGTGGTGAAAACAACACTGCCAATGCAGGGCTAGGTAAAAATCTAACCCACCTTCCTAAGATGGGGGTGGACCAAGCCCAGACTGTGACACACTGGGTCACCTACCTCAGCCAGCAGAGCAGTCTATCTTCATCACTGTTGAAGGAAGATCTTCAGAAGCTTCTTGGCCCGGTGATGTACCATAGTGCCATGCCAGAAGAGAAGATGGTCACTCCACCAGAAAGGAATCCCACCCAGGAAGGGAAATATTCCTGAAGATCCTTGGTATATGGACGGGTCCAGCAAAGGTAATCTGAGCAAGTGGAGAGCAGTGGCACTGACACCATATGATTTGAAGAAGGGGGTGGTCAAAGTAGCCAATGGGCAGAGGTGCGAGCTGTGTGGATGGTTATCACCACGGAACCCAGTGACAGTGAACCAAACATCTGCACAGATGGTTGGGCTGTGTCCTGGGGTCTCACTCTTTGGATCGCAGTGGGCCACCCAAGACAAGATCATTCACACATGACAAATCTGAGGCAAGGAGATGTGGCTAGACGTATGGAATGTGGTTAAACACAGAACTGTATGTGTCTACCATGTTTCTGGACATCAACCCCTGCAATCACCAGGAAATGATGAGGCCAACACACTGTCTTGAGTATGATGGATTGAGAGCCCTCTTTCAGAGAACACTGCCCCTGACTACACCAGAAGCTGTGACATGCTGGACAGAAGATGATGGTGGGCAGCAGCCAAAGCATGGGGTCTGCCCATAACAATGTCAGATATCCAGGCATGTCATGATTGTGATGCTTGAGGATAAGACACCTGTGCCAGAGACGACTGCCCACCTTGCCAGAGAACATAACCCTCTCCAAAGGTGGAAAGTTGATTATATAGGCCCTCTCCTGCAATCTGAGGGGGCCAGATACGCATTAACTTGCATCAACATGGCAAGCAGACCGATGCAGGCCTATCTGGTACCAAAAGCAAACCAGGCCTATGCCATCAAGGCTTTAACCAAACTAATGGCAGCTCAATTTTAACCAAATTAATAGGACTCTGCAGGTCATCAAGAGCAACTAGGGTACAGGCTTCACGGGTGTGATGCTATAACTTTGGGTGGAAGAGAACAACATTGAATGGCATTTTCATCTGCCATACAATCCAATGGGAGCAGGCCTCACTGAATGTTATAACAGCATCCTTAAGGCTGCTCTGAAGATAGATTTTCGGTCCTTGCAGGGGTGGATGAAGAGATTGCATGAAACCCTGTGGGACCTGAACAACAGACCTAGGGATGGCAAACCCAGTGCCCTCAAGATGCTTCAAATGACTTGGTACTCCCTTCTTAGGATCCAAATTGCAGGCATGACAACCAGGTACCACCCCAGATTGGCAATGAAAATAACCTGCTCCCTGTCCCTGAGAAAATATAGAACCCAGTACCCATAGAATAGAACGGCTGTGGTAGAACGCCAAGTAGGACCAAAGTGGTGTGGTCTACTTTCACCTTGGGGGAGATTATTGGAGGTGGGGGTTTTGGTAGTCCCTCCAGTATTTGGTACATAGCCTACTGATACTGTGGTCAACACCCTGTTCTTCATTGCTGTGGGGATGCTAATCATGCCCCTATGACAGATCAGGACCCTCTATTTGGCGCTTCATACAGTTATGCAGTCACAGATATCTGGCCAAAGAGTGTAGTATGGATGGCCAGGACATGCCCCAGTAAAAGCCAAAGTCTTGACCCAGGACAGGAATAAGGCCTGTATTGAGGGCAGACCTCCTTCTCTTGGTATCACTGAAAAATCTGCACTACCTCCCATGAGTCTTTGGAGTTTCCAGGATCACCAGAAGGAGCAAAATATCAGCAAAGCTCTGCAGTGTCACCGTGAGATCAAGAACCTATGTGGGACTGATGGAACATAAGATGAACCTGCACCAAACAACTTCATGCCTCCAGTAACATCACTGAGCACTGGCCCATGATAGAACATGAACTTCAACCATGAACTGATTATCAATCATCTGACATTGTGTCAACCTACATCGTGATGGGCAATTGCATAAGCATCATGGTGTGTTGGATCTCAGTATCAGGGAAGGCTCACCCTCCAACTGGCTTAATCAGTGGCTCATGCTGAGTGTATGGGAACTGCTGACTCATGGCCACTGACTGAGCACCTGGAGAAAAGACCTGGTCAGCCCTGAGAGCACAGGTAAAGGCAATTCAAACTCTTAGATGTCATTTTAGGACTCCACATTTAAGTGGAGTTTTTTCTGCAAGCCTAGATCTTTGGAGATGGATAAGCATTCTTCTTTTTGTAACATCTTCTAATCGTGCTGGTCCTACTTCTGTTACATCCCACATACAGTCTAACTTCCCTCACCCTCACACAACAGTAACTGATGTCCCAAGCAACAGTTGTGACTCCCCACCTAGCACATTTCCTGCCGCGTTTTTGGAAATGCAGTCTTAACAATGTGAAAATTTAGCTTCCCTTCTTCTAGATTTGTGATTTGGGCTGACTTTGCCAGGGGGCAGAGGGATGGAAGTACATCACTGTGTGTTGCAGCGCTTAGTTCAGTTCTTTAGAAGTTACTCCTTTAGGTAATCAAACACATCCTTAGAATAAGGGTGAATACTCTTCCACATTTTAAAAACAGTTCTGCTATGACATAGTCATTCTAGGTTTTACTAGGACTTCAAAGTAGTTGCTTACTAAGTGGAATCTAACCAAACTATCACAGTACTAAAGGACTACACCTCAGCTCAACTTTCATTTGTATATTGTCAAAGAATAGGACTGTACACTATGAGGGATGATCTGAAAGTAGTGTTTCCTTTTTTTCTTTTATGTTGGCCCACAACATCAGAGGTGGATGTTGGTGTATGACAGTAGAGGCTGAACTTTCCCACCTTTACACGTTGTTGCCATGTGACAGATGGCAGCAGAAGGGCAGTCTGACAAAATGGTGTCCAAGATGGAAGTGGGTATGAAGAAAAGGAGTGTCAATGAATTCCTCCACACAGAAAAAAGCTGCATCCGTTGACATTCACTGATGTTTGCTGAGCATTTATGGAGACCAAACAGTGGATGTGAGCACAGCGTGGCTGTGGCTGGTGTGTTTCAGCAGTGGAGACAGTGGGTCACCTCTGCTGGCACAGATTTTACAAGCATGGCATGCAGGGTCTTGCTCATTGCTGGTGAGAATGCATAGCTAATTCTGGTGGCTATACTGAAAAACAGGGTTTTGTAGCTGATAATTTGCTCTATCAAATATTCTGATAGTGCTCTTTGCATTTGTTGTAGTTTCTATGGTAATAAATAGGAGGTATTACTTTTGGAGTGACCTATGCATCTTTCATACTTATCTGACATCTGTACTAAAATGAAAACTACATCCAGTGGCTAGTTCACTAGGTCTGTTTAATTCTGTCATCTGTTTACATACGGAGACAAAATGCACACAAACAAGATGAAAAGTGACCAAAAACATTTTATTTGCGAAAATGGCAAAATGTGATTCAGTCAAAATGAAAGTGAGCGATCTTGAGAAGACATCCTACTTTCCCTTTTAGTATGTTACTGACTTGTTCTCAATTTAGTTGTAAAACAGTCTTTCCTACATAGTAAGATTCCTAGTTTTAATTATTTCCCCATCCTCTTGGTAACTTTCCAAATTTGAGTACTACATGTGATTGGCAGGCTCCTGTTCAATATGCAAATAACTGGGAGGCTATTCATGTTATTGTAAAGCTTATCAGAAAGTGACAATTACTTTGGCCTCAGCAAGTTTATGTTGACACATTTAGATTTGTGATAGACAAGAGGATCAAGTACGGTTGTACTCTGCGTTGAAAAGGATCTTCAGTTCTCCACAAAGCCTTCAGCGCTGCAGGACACCATAAGAAACTTGAGAACCATTAACAATATAAGTTTGCTTAAAAACTACCATACTGTTAATTTTTCTCTTGGAAATCTTATTCCCAAGAAAATGAGTTTACACTTACTGACCCTCAGAAATTCTAATATTCAATTTCCTGTCCTACAGTTCTGATTTTTCTCCTATAGCTATCCAAATATCTAAGCTTCATTTGGAAGAGTAAAAGAAAAATGTAAGTCAATTAGTTTCAACAAATATAGCATTTGGTTTGCCAACACTCTTCAATATAGAAATTCTCTGGATTAACGTGTCAAAGTAGCGTATTAAAAAAGAAGTGTGAAGACATCTGCAATGCAGAAAATAACATGAGGGATACAAACAACTCTGATCACTCTAAGATATAATGCATTTTTGTTGCGCTTTCTTATACTCTATTAGATACTCTGGGTAAATTTGATTTTTTTCAAAGACAACAAAAATTGAAGGACTTGCCACGTTGTCCACACAACTATCATAAAGCCGAAACCCATCACCCGACTTTGCTGGGGGGCGAACATAGTCTGCCCTGCCTTTAGCATAATCTCCAACCAAAACACGAGCCATGAACATGACAGTTGATTTTCCTGCAGACTGACAGTATCCATGAGAATAGGAAGCATCTCTGGCAAAGTAACTTCCTAGAAAATGACAAAGAACGCATGGTTAAAAGGGATGTCTAAAAAAATGACCAAAAAAAGTGAAAATGAGCATCTCCTCATTTTTCAGGAGGAATTTAACCCAACTTTCAGGTCTCCTTTACTCAGCCTACATAACATCATATAATAATTTATTTATTCTTGCAAATGAAACAGCTACACCATAGAATTTCTATTTGGAATTTGTTATTGTAGGAATAATAGTTATTAAAAAAAAACACAGCAAAACACACAAAATAAAAACAATATAAGTATTTGTGTGCTATTAAGAGAGGGAGAGACAAGAAAATGTGAAGACTTCCCACAGCCATACTGAGGGAACGCACACCTTCTAGTTCCCTGCCATGATTAAATGCCCTTTCCCTGTCAAGTTAAAATCATGACCATGAGCCTTCAGAAGATCTCACCTGTGGCAACAAGAGATTTTTGAAATCCCTAAATTAATTCCCTCAACACCCTGGGAAAGGGCATAGTCTTGAACAAAGCACATTCTTGTCCTCTTCAGAGGGAAGAAAGATTCTAATGCCAATTCTTTTTTTTTTTTTTTAATTTTGAAACTTTAATTGCCCTAGTGTCAGGGGAGTGTAAGATCTGATACACAGAGTCATATCTCCTACATACCCTTCCCATAGAGCTTTCCATTGCTCCCACAAGTTCTCCAGTCAAAGTTGTGACGGCAGATGTCTTCCAGGGGGCATCCCATGGTTCCGTGGAACAGAAGGCTTTCCTTTACTTCCTTCCCTCCACTTTGTCTCTTCATCTGCTCCTTTTGCCTAACAGAGAAAAAGGCAGTAGCAGAATGAACCACAGAAGGGAGAAAGGTGCAAATAAATAAATAAATAAATAAATAAATAAATAAATGTGCAGGATGTACATGTAAATACCAGCTGGATGAGATATTCACTCTACTTTCTCCTCTCTCAGCATGGGACACAGACTACCAGTATGATAAAAAACTACAAGACAAAAAATCTACTGATACTACTGCCCATAAAATCTAGATAAAAATAGATGAAAGCCAGAATTAAGTAAGCACTGATACTACTACACACCTCAAAGCTTTTGCTCCTCTGAAGACTCCCACTAGTTATGCTCCAGTGTCTCCTGTCTGTTCCCACACACCCCCAGATTCTGCGCAGAGTGGAGGTCATACTAAGGACATACTGACCCCTAAGACTCTGTGCTTCAGTAAACCTAGATGTAGCTTGTTCTGCGTTCCCCTGGTAAACAGAAACTGCCATACACGAGGCCAGACATTCTACAAGAGGGAAGGGCTGTGCTGAAATGGGCATTCTGCACACACCTAACATTCCCTGTCATCATCTCTTCTGGTGTAACTCTCTGCCACCTGGAGCTCCTACCAGAGCTCCTCAGAAAAATCAGTTCAGCTGAGGAGACAGGAGATAAACTGGCCTTTCTCTCACCACTGAAGAACTTCATAATTTAGTGCCAGTACCAGACAGTGAGCTATGATCAGTAACAAAAGAGGAATCACAGTGGGAGACTTAACTATTATCTCCCATCACTGTAGCACAGCATCATGACTCTCCACAGCTTTTCAGAACCTTCTGAAGTAGATAACATAGTGATATTCTTCAGGAAGTTATCAGCTAAAAAGTTTACAGCCAAGTAGAGGGGAAATAGATCAACTGACTGAAATTTGTTTACTGACAACTTTGCAGCTATGTTAAACTCTGGTTAGCACAAACATCTCATTGGAGGAGGGCAAAAAGTACACAGTGAAGTGCCTAAGTTCTGCTAGATGAAAAGTTTTATCAAATTATGAACTTCCTGAATTGAGTCACTTTACAGGTCTAAATACGAAGCTCTTGAATACTAAGTATCTGTGCTTTTGTTTTAAACTAGACCACTGTTCTATGCAACAGCTCAATCTGCTTGGACATTCATTTGAACATGGCCATTGTCCCTGCTGCCAGCTCTAATCTGCTGGTATGTATCTTAGCATAAATACTAAGAGTTTGATATCACTGATGCACATGTCGAAAAACAGAAAGGAGTTCTGCAAGACAGAGATCATTAACTTAAAGCATAAGGATTCATTCTCAGTGAATACTCAAGCAGATGTACTCAAGCTTTTGAATAAGCCTTAAAAAATCTGACTGGAACAAAGGGGCTCAAGTACATCCTTACCTTTGCCCACTTTTTTCCTCACACTGAATCAAACAGAATCATTGGGCTTGGTAGGGCCCCGTGTAGGCCACCTGGTCCCACCCCTACCCAAGCAAAGCCACCCAGAGCAGGTTCACAGACCCACATCCAGCTTCTGAAGATCCCCAAGGAGGAGACTCCACAATCTCTGGGCAACCAGAGCTCTGTCACCCGCACAGCACAGAAGTGCCTCCAGTTGGTGCCCATTGCCTCTTGGGACCAACAGGTTTTTTAACAAGTACTTTGTATACTGTAATGGATAAACAGTTACAACAGAATGCACCTGAAATAGGCAATTACTGTTCTGACAATACACTATTCGACTCTACTTTGGATATCCTCATCCTGCTGTGTCACTTCACATCCTTCTGTCTCCTTCGCATTCTAAGGAGTCATGCAGAAGACAGCTCCCCCTGGAGCATGGACAATCTTAAACTGATAGGTCTTAGCCACTTCATTTCACTCTTGAAACTGCCTCTAGGAAGGAAATACTAGTTAAAGCACAGGTGGCAATCTCTTTCCCTCCCTAGGATGTAGATTTAGAACATCAGTTCTTAGAAACTCCTTGCCTTTAAGGATGACAAAACAAATACTGACCACTGAAACACTTTCCAGAGGGATGGATTCTGAATCCTGAGTACTTTAATGATGATGTAGTTTGTCATAGTCTGCTCAAACTGCTTCTTTATTTCTTGGTATTCAGAGGAAATATTACTGATCTCCACTTCCTATAAAATATAAACCAAAGCAGAAGACATGAGGCTTCAGTTAGCTCATATTCCACACAGAAGCCTGTCTGCAGCAGATTGCATTCAGAATGGCCCTCCAAATAAGCCTCCAAACTATGCTTTTGGAGGCCTATTTAATGCTTTAAATTGTTGCAAATAACGAGGACAAACAATTAATGTGTAAATCAGTGTGTCACTCCCGCTCTGCAAGAACCCCTCACCTCTCTTCAGAAAGGACACTGAAAGTGAGGAGGTCAATTAAATATTTATCACCTCCAAGTAGGAGTTGACACTTGTAACCACAAATCCCAATGAAAGAGTAATCTCAGAAAGAAAACTTAGACTGATAATAAAATTAAGTACAAAGATATTTGATAACATTATTACTTGTTACACACACAATTTCTGAGCATCATAGCTCCTTAACTTTTCAAAGATAAAAGTTGAAAACGTTAAAATATAGGCTTAAAAATAATTTTAAAAAGAGCTACATTTCTAAGCATAAGAGAGTAATTAAGATTCTAATAAGAATGTTGCAGTAAATACACTCTTAAATTCATCTTAATTAATTTTCCAATTTTGTCCTTCATCTTCTAGAATTGGTACTCTAACAGTGTAGACTGAAAATGCCTAATGCTAGCAGACTAATGTCTATGTGGTAACACTCCTCTTTATTGCTGCTTAACCAACTGAAAGTCACCTATGAGATGACGTATTTTAAGATGGAAAGCTGAGGTCATCCTAGGAGGTAACATGAGATCAATATTATCTTTCAGTCAAAAGATGCACATTTTAGAAGGCTGAGTTCAGAGAGAAGATAAAATAGGACTTAAATTTCACAGCTGCATATATATAAGGGAATGTTTCCCTAGACATCGTGCCCGGTTTGAGCACTAAGTACTTACTGAAGAAGAGGCTTATGACAGGAAAGGATTGCAAGGAGTAAAGAATAAAGTCAGCCGCACAAGGAAGAATTACTTTTCTGAATTTATTAAAAAGTTTTTACAAGGTTGAATGACATGTTGTCTATCTGTCCACACAAGAATATTTTGCAAATCCTGTTTACAATGCAACACAAAATAATTTAGACAAGACAGAATTTGCTATCTGCCTGCTTTTTAACAGAACAGTTCACCACCACCTGCAAGATGAAAATAACGTCAATATATTTTAGTACTACATCTGCTATGAATACATAAGAATTGTTCATGCAGACAGCAAAATGTGCTTTTGCTACATAACATCTTTTGCTGAAAAACTGTAATCGTCCTGGGTAAAAGAGAGACAGCAACATGATACAAAGCCTATTGCTGTAAGACAGGTACTTCAATTATTTTACAATAGAATGGCCTATAAGCAACAAAGCCACTTCTATTTTGCACAGAATCTCCACGGAGATTGTTTTTATTTCCTCAAAGATGCTGATGAAGAGTAACACCACCTTGCTACTGCAAGTTAATGCTTCACAACAGCAGAACTTCTTAAGCTTCTTTCATCTCTAGACTTAAGGAGGAAAATTTAGAGAGGATAAGCATTTGCTAATCCACAGTCAATGGAGTGGAATTTCTTAAGCAGAGAAAGAATCACTGCTTAAGACACTGACAATAATTTATTATTAGCATATGACTGCACGAGTTCAGTACAAAAGGACATCAAACTTTGGTATTTCAGTAACTTAGGCTTTGGAAGCAAAACAGTTTCTAATAGTTACATTGACCCAAGTAGAACTAATGCTTAAAAAGTATACGGACAGACTTTTTATGATGCATCATCTCCCAACCTTGTTACAGCACAGCAATCTTCAGTTCTTGTCAGGATTCAGCAGCTGTATGAATACTAATCCTCTTGACACAAAAGCCTATTGCCTTCATCCCACATATTTCTCAGTTCTCCATTAAAGATGCAATTTAAACTAAGAAGTTCCAAGATAATAACAATTTATTTTTTATGTTTTTTGCCAACTGCTAACTCCACTCTATCTGCAAAACAAAGACAGGAGACTCGTGCCAATTTTCCAAATGGTGTTTGCTACTAATGTCTAATAAGCTTTTCATTTACACTACTTTCCATAGAACTATGATATCACATGAATTACAGATTTAGACACTTCAACACTCAAAAAATAAGCAATGTTACCAAAGCAGAGCTGCTCTTTTTAAAGAAGGAAATTTCCTCCCTATCTCATAGGTCTTCCTTTTTATAATTGATCACTTTCAGTGCAGGGAAGCTAGCTGGGATTAAATGTCAGAGTCTGAAGAGAAGGGAATTCATCAAGTCGTAATTGTCAGATGTTACGATGGTCACCACACGCGTGCAGAATCCCAGCCAGTCCCAATATTACCTACTGCAAAAAAACATGCTTAGGTTCCCAGATAAATAACTTAATCTAGCTCAGGTTTTTATTTTTAGTAACAAAGAGTATTGAGGGCCTTTTTTAGATAGAGTTAACTTTTCCTTTCATATGAAAGGCACTCAGTTTACAAGGTAAGAGACAGTTTTCTTAGGTTCCAACTCAGCAAGCAAAACGAGCTGTAGGAAGCAAGATGGCTTTTTTTCCCCACATATCCCCACCAGTACCACCAGAGGTACCATGGATCTGCAGGTCACGTTCCAAAGCCTCTCACAATTCACCCCAAACATTTCAGAGTACACAAAGGAAGCACTAAGTACACACAATTCATAGACATATAAGGAACTGAGCTACCTATCTTCTGATTATTCTTCTGAAACATTCAAGCTTACATTACTCGGCTAAGCTACTAATAAGCAGTTAGCTGTCTCCTTCAGTAACTGTGACAGAGCTCAAGATATCAGAGGTGCAAGTCTTCAAAAGGTCTGTCTGCCTGGTTCCCATGCAAACTCTTACTACTAAAATCAGCAGGTGCTAGACTCCTGAAATTTTCTGGAGTCTGGCAAAAGAAGGTTTGTTTTTTGTTTTTCTACTAATTGTGAAAATAACAACTATTTGAAGAAAGCTTACATATAAAGCAACTAATTGATTTTTTTCAGCAGAATTCTATTTAGACTAATTTGTTGTACCCACATTGCTAGAAAATAGTATTACATTGAGTAAGGCAAAATCCAACAGAAGAAGGTAGTCAGCATAAAATGAAACATCCAAAGCAAAACTCAGTAACATAAACCAGCCCAAGGAAGCAAAGAAACACAGTATTTTTGGTTCTCACGCCACTCCAATGCAACAACACTAGGAAAATCAAGTGCAAGAAGAAAGAATAACAATGAATCTCTTTGTCAATTGAAAGTAGCTAGAAAGAATCCTCAGTCTGGAAACACATTACTTTTGTCCTGCCTTTAGGCATCAGTATGCCTGTGCCAACGCAGCTTGATCAGCATCACACAGGATTTTTTTTTAAGAGTCAACAAGTGAAAGCCCTCATGCTAAACCTCATGCACTGTTCCTTAATCAGAGTCCAAACCACTATATGAAAGAACAAATCTAACAGTGAAATGCATTTTTTTTAGCATGCTGTAGGATTTCTCTGTGTTTTTCTTCCTAAAGGACAACTTAGTATCACTACGATGAGTAATATAGAACAACTAAACATTTTTGGTCTTGCTGCACCAAATAGGTCCATAGACTTTGGGCTGGCAGATTCCCTTAAGTTCCCAGTCAAAACTTTACCCAACAACAATCACAACAGTATTAATATTGGATTTTTTTCTGCCTACACAGAAGGAGTTTGATCTCAGCCCAGCTTCTGGTGAAGAAGTTTTACACGCTTCATAGAAGCCCCTTGCTTAACTGGTCCATCAAGTTACCAAGGAAAGTTATTAGTACAGTTTTGTCTTGAATTTGATGAGTTTTGTTTTTGCAAAAAAGAAACAAACAAACAAACAAACAAAAAAAAACAAAAAAAACCAACAACACAAAACAGATGAAGTTCATGAGAATTTGTCACCTTCTTCTGGACCTTTTAGAAGAGCATTTAGATCCTGAGTACAATCACTCAAGATACCATTATTATTCTTTTTTAGAATTTACCCAGTTACAATTTTACCCAGTTACAATACAAATTTACCCAGTTACAATAGTCTCTTCTATTCCTCCTTTTAATCATGATTTCAATCAGAATTGGAAAAAAAAAAAGAAAAAAAAAAAAAGGGAAAAACAAGGAAGATACCTTGTATCCAAAGTCAGGCAGTGCAGATTGATCCCAGTGAGGTGGACAGGCTTGATTTGAAATAGAATCATCCCTCTGACCTCTTGCAAATAGAAAAAAAAAAAAAAAGCAGGTGTTACTAATTCTAGTCCTGCTATGAATATTCAAATTGTCAGTTTCCCCTTTAGCCAACTAATACATTTTAAAATAAACAAAACAAACCATAAAGTCATTGGGAAAAACTGCTTCATCCTATATGCTGGGCTATGTATGCTGACATTCAATTGTCACAGTCCTCTTTCATTTTCTAATTCAAGATATGAATGTATCTCAGAAATTAGGTGATACACAAAGAAGACTGTTCACAATATAATCAAGTGGATATGTTTTCTCCCAGCAATAGGTGATTTTTTTGCAAATTTGTTACCAACACTTACTGCCATTTTGCCTTATAATTACTTTTAAAACACAAATGAAGCAACTGAAGAGCATAATTTACCTTTCCTTTATCTTCTGCACTTCTTCATACGACACAAACTTTGGTCGCCTGCAGACCTGTCTTTTTGTTTTGGAAGAGGTGTTTAATTGGGTCATTTCTAGACAGAAAAAGAGAAATGGAAAGGAAAAAAATGTAGTAAGTCCAGCAGATGGGGTCATTAATTAACGACAATCATTAACAAAAACTGGCATATTTATTGTCCATTATATCTCCTGAAGAACAGTTGTACAAAACCTTTGTAAGCTTCTTATTCTTCTCTGAAACGCTGGTATTTACTCTGTGCCTACTTTGTTTGCTGCTCCCTTGTGTAATTTATGCTCTTCAAAAGTTGCTCCAGCAGTACAAAAAGACACCTTATTTTTAAGGGAATTACCTTACTTTAGATTTACCATGAATTCTTTGAAGACTTTCATCATTTAATTTCTGCTCCTATGTGAGTCTAGACAGCATCAGTGAGTAAGCAGGAAAAGTACTTTTGCAAGGAATATCTTCATTTCCATCATTATCTCACTCCCACTAAGTAAATCTGGTAACACTAGTAAAGTAAGTCATAGATTTGAAAAGCTGAGATAGCTTGCAAGTCAATCTTTGTAAAGCAGTTCATCTGTAAATAAGAACCTTCAAAGTGTGTACCTTTAAAACTGAGTTGGTAATAATACAAGCCAACTTGGAATTGTATACTCGTTTCTGGATCTGCCAGATACAAATTCTCAAGTATGTCAGATGACGGCGAATTCCCAATATTCTGTTCTCCCTTCAGGGGGGAAAAAAAAAAAAAAGAGAGAGAGAAAGAAGAGTGATTAGTAAACAGAGACAAAACTAGACCAGATAACTAGTATGGGTTAAGGGAAAGAGGGTCCAGTCAATAGTCTGGTCTAGTGTGATTACCAAACACAATACCAGACATGAAAATACATAATACTGGACATGCATGTATCCCATTTAGATTTCCATAACAAGTATAGTTACTTAATGTACAAGCCAATGTAAAATGTTCCATTTAAGCCGCCTGTTGAAATCAACTTTGCCAGAACCACTATAAACATAATCTTCACATCTTTAGGTTAGATATTAGATATATTAGGAGGAAGTTTTTCACACAGAGGGTGGTGACACATTGGAACAGGTTGCCCAAGGAGGCTGTGGATGCCCCATCCCTGAAGGCATTCAAGGCCAGGCTGGATGTGGCTCTGGGCAGCCTGGTCTGGTGGTTGGTGACCCTGCACATAGCAGGGGGGTTGAAACTAGGTAATCTTAGAGGTCCTTTTTAACCCAGGCTACTCTATGATTCCTCTGCCATTCCCACTTTCTCATTCCCTGAATCACTTTTGTGTTCTGCCAAGAAAACCATCTGTGCAGCTGCTAAGGAAGAAGAAGAGATGCCTTACTTATTTATTTTCCTGCATTTCTATGACTTGTACCCACTCCTGACGCTGTTAATATGGTTAATACAATCAAGGACATTTTTGTAAAGCAAGCAGCCATTATCTATAAGAGAGCTCCTCACATATCAGCTGTCTTCCCCGTACTCACTGGCCTTGAAGGTTTTGGGTGCCAGGCTCAGCTCTTTCCTCCCTTCTGGACTTGAAGGTCCTGGGCACCAGATGAACATTTCCCTCCCTACCAGCCTTGAAAGTTCCAGGCACCCAGCCAAACAGGATGCACTGTCTCAAACAACAGCACAGGGGAGCATAACAGCACACAGGCACTGTTTACAAAACCAAGCAGCTACAGGTCTTGAGCTGCTGCTGGACAGCAAAACCCATGATTCTTCATTGGCCTGGGACACCTCTGCCACTGTATGCTTCCTCCAAGGACTCAGTGAACAACTTCTACTGCTTTACATGTATTCCAAGTTTATTGCATGACAAATGTTAAGATTTGACCTGATCTGCAGAAGGTCAAGGTGGTTAGAATAAACACTAAATAATTATCAGATATGCTGATTCTAAAATACTAGAGTATACTAATCAGAAGGTAATGCTTCCATGCCTTATTTGACACTAAAATTAAAGCACAAGTATTTACTTAATCAACCTAGTTTGAGTCAAGGGAAGAGAAGAGGCTCCACACATTTCTTCAGGAGTGATTCAAAACACATGATGAAGAACACATGTACAGGATGTGGACTCACCTGTGTTCCATATTCAGTCCACTGGCCTTGGTCATTCTTCCAATACCAAATCCACTTTGTAGTCAGTACAAATGTGGGGTTTACAACAGATGATGGTGTAGAGAGGCGCCGAACCAAAGACGAGGAGCAGGTCATCGTCTGGAAATTAATACTCATATCTGCTATACTGTAAGAACAAATTCAGAAGTTTATTATAGTTACCAGTATAGATTTTATCCTCTAATCCTCAGATTAAATAGGTGCAATTTTCTTTAGTATAATCTGACTGTATAAGCTCAATGAGGCCTGAAATAGGAATATTTTCCACAGTACATGTGACAGCTCAGAAAATTGTTTCCAATGTTCAGAAGCAAACTATGGCCCATGAGGGACTGACTATCTTCTCCAGCACAAGCCAGATGACTGACTTTACAGACATGCTACAGGCACAACACAGCAAAAGATATTTGTACAGTAAAGAAATACACACAGCAATGTATCCCAGTAGAAAAATAAAAATTGGTAAGTACTTGACAGTTTGACAAAAACATCTGCAGCTTATTGCTCTGTTCTTTTGTCTGTGGTAATAGAGGACACAATCACAGCTGTGAGCTCTGGATATCATCTTCATTCCTGGAGCTACATGGACTTCTATTTCTCACAGGCTTGAAAAATTAACTCTTCCTCCTCAGGCAGGAAGGCTTTGATAGCAACCTCATCTGGAAAATGTTACTTGTGATTTGCACTATACAGCAGCAAATCAAAATATCTGCTGCTTTAAGAGGCAAGAACCAAAATAACAATGTCAAGGCCAAGCTTGTGGTCCCCTATCAATCCAGTCGACTTACAATATGGCTTTCAGAAAGGAGTTAAAGGGAAAATGAATGACCCTAGCATACATCCCCTTTAAAAGAAAAAAAAAAGAAAAAAGAAAAAAAGAAAGAAAAAAAAGGCTGCTTGCACAAGGGGCCTTTCATAAAAGTTTTCTAGGCACATTCTAGATACTGGCTGTCTTAGGAAAGGAAAAACCATACGAAAGATTAGCTCCAAACAGCTGTTAAGAGACCTAACCATTATTTAAAACAAGTTAAAATAGTCTAAGCCACGAATTCCACCCTCCTCTTATAACCCTGCTGAGAGTTTTAAATGCAAGATACCGGCACGTTATTCTTCAGAAGATAAAACCAGGGTAATATTTCCATGCAGCTACCTTTACTTTTTAAAAAGAAAAAGCAACTCATTTTGTACATCCTCACACATTATGAGAAGCTCACAAATTAGAAATTACGGAATTCAGGGATCTCTAAGAGGAAGTCAAGAATTTTCTATCAGAGGCTCAAACACAGCACTTTAAGGAAGCAGTCTGCCACCAGTATACCTGCTGTTTTTTGGGTCACAATAGGCCTTTTCAATTTCTTCCATCATGGATAGGTCATTCCAGGTGATCCCATTATATACTTGCCATCTGTATGGCAAATGGTAATGAACTGATTTGCATTGCTCTGTAACAAGATCAGACATAGTTAAGAGCTCTGCAACCACAGAAGAGCCAGACAAGATGAGAAATAAGGAACACTTTTTTACACTCTTTGGTATGAGCAATAAAGACAGATCACTGTAACTAGAAATGCATTGGAACAACAGAGGTTTTGTGTTTCTCTGGTCCTATCTAGGAAAGCAACGTAAGCACTCATACTGTCAAGCACATTTTAAAAAACAGTTCACAACCTTCTCTTTGCCAAGACACTGCCTTGGCAGCTGGGAAAGCAGTGCCACAGACTGCAAGTTTGTGTTTATGTGTCACATTATCATATTTCTCAGCTGTAAAAAGTCAAGCCTACGGGTGCATAAACATTAGCATTCCAATACATTCGTTTCTCATTTCCACTAGCTCCTTAGAGATGATGGGCTGGTTAACAAAATGGATCGTTAAAGGCCTGAACCTTTTCTTCAGGTCCACCTCAATTAATAAGGCAGCATAAAGGACTGCAATACTCTAAAGAGCATCCTGCAAAAGAGACTCTACGTTCATCCCTGAACAGGCAGCACTCTGCCCTACCTACCAGACTGCTAGGCACTATTGAAATTCATGAAATCATAGAATGGCCTGGGTTGAAAAAGACCATAATGATCACCTAGTTTCAACCCCCCTGCTATGTGCAGGGTCACCAACCACCAGACCAGGCTGCCCCGAGCCACATCCAGCCTGGCCTTGAATGCCTGCAGGGATTGGGCATCCACAGCCTCCTTGGGCAACCTGTTCCACCTCCACCACGCTCTGAGTGAAAAACTTCCTCCTAATATCTAAACTAAACCTCCCATCTTAGTTTAACACAATTCCCCCTTGTCCTATCACTATCAACCCATGTAAATTGCTGCTCTGCTCCTCAGAAAATGGGAACGCAACAACTTCAGTTGCCTTGCATGCAAGATCTGCAGCAGTTACACATACCTTTACACAGAACAAGGAAGACTTCTAATTTTTCTTATCTATGGAATATTATCTATATATATTATATCTATATATTTCATCTGTGCTTTTAATGTATTTAGGTCTGCACATTTTAGTGCTTATCATCCCTGTAGGAGCACAAGCCTCCCATCCTTCCAGGCCTCCCTGTCAAGGCAGATGCTGTAAACTCCACATCTGAGCAGGGACCAAGCCTCTCATTCACAACTTTTGAGCCAAACATGGTATGGCCAAACACACTAACTCTCCAGGCTATTTGAGTTTAGTTATTTGGTGGTCACAGTAGAGTTGCTTTGAGCCTGGGTGCATAATTTACAGAATGCATGTCCAAAAGTTCATAACCTTGAAAGCCAAGTTTCATCCTAAAAAAGCAGAGAGAGCCTGAGACACGTGATACAAGACTGGGGTAGCTGCTGCACAGAACCAAAACATTTCATCATTCTTTTCCCTTAATGTTTCTGATCACAGAACATACGGCAACTAATCACAGTTATGAAGTCATTGTAATTCACTCCTTCCTTCCTTTTTTTGATTTCTCTGTTGATAGGGATGGAACATATCCTTTCTTGAGAGCATTATGCTTAAGTTAACTTAAAAACTTGTAGACAAAACTATACTTGGTCTCTCTTGGCCAGATTTCATTTTTATGGTTCATAAAATACTCATAAAATATACCATTTATTTTTCAAGTACTGGCTCTCTTCCAAGCAATAGTGAAAAAAAGGTATTATAAAAGCCCTAGAGTGGGAAAGAGTATTTTACTCATCTGATTCAAAAAGGATCTTCTGAAGGAAGAACTGCATATTTATATCAAATGCACTACAGAAATGCTAAACACATCCAAATATCTGAGACCAAACAAACAATTATCAAGCAACTTACTATTCACTTCCTAAGTGAAAAGTGACAAAGTGACCAGGTGGCCAGAAAGGGAGTAGAACTTCAGAAATTGACTGGACAAGTTGACCACAAGAAAAATCTAATGATACCTCTTCAAAACCAAGGAAACTTAAGTCACTTGAGGGTTAAGAGACTGTTCTGGGACAGTCTCTGAGTACAAATGCTTATATTTTCCATAGACCTTTTTTAGTGGCCACAGCCACAGACAGAGGATGGATGAAAACCATTTTTATCTTAGCTGGTATAACTACTGTGTTTTCTTAACATTCTGTAACATCACTTTTTAAAGTACTTAACGGACAAGGAATGTGGCCATTATCAGATGTACATAGAATACAACAGGAACAAAGGAGAGGAGAGAGGGTTTACGTGTATCCACCTGACTTCACTCTGATAATGTTTGCAGTTTTCACAGGATTTGTTAGTGACTTACAAAGCAAACAAATGAGAAGACACAATCACCACTGCCAGTCCTGAGATGCTGACACTCCACATGCCACCACTACTCTGAGCCATCGAGTGGGCAGCACCTCTGCAAATAATACACTCCAAAGATACTTCATATAAGGCTTACCGTTATGTTTGCAGTACTTCCAGACATAGAACAAGCATATCTCGTCACACTTATCTTCTTTATTGTCCTTCAAAGAGCTTGCAGAGGAATCATCTTTTTTACCTACAACAAGAAACACATCAGTCCTTTCATCCTTCTGAAACTACAGCTCCAAAAGAAAGGTGTTGCATTTACCATTTCACCCCATGATTAACAAGAAGTTGACTGTAGTAGCCAAGTTAAACACTTCCAGGATATGACTATCTCAATATTAAGAGTTAGGACTTTGAAGCCAACACTCTTCTGTTCAGAAGGGCAGGACATTTAAGTGTTCCTATTCACATGATAGAATGTGTATCAACACAACTGACAAAGCTATCTCCATTCTCTGGGAACAGAAGGTAAGGAAAGGTTTTCACACACCTACAATAATATGTTGTTTCTAGGAAGGAAGCAAATAGTCCAGAACAGTATCAGAGATCAGTCTCAGACTGCTCCCCAGACTGAACACACACGTATTATGCTGCTCAGTGCTTGGACAGAAATATCAGTATTCCCTTGAAGGCTGATACTCTGATTTTCAACATATAGGTAGGGTAAAGACATAAGCTCCTTTCCCATCATCAAAGGAACAGTAAGACTGTATATGAAATCAAATCCCAATTAGAACCACTGATTTAAAGATGGAGGGTCAAAAACCATACCTTCGACTTTACTTCTGGTGCCTGTTAGCAAGTGAAGTTTGTTCTGATGAGTTTTGTTGCTGCTGGGATCTGCATGAGAAGGCTGAATGAATAGCACTGTTGGACCAAAACATCAGCTAGCCTGCAACACTCAATTTGTGCATTGACAATTATGTCCATCACACATCATTTTACAGGGCACTCCACTGCTGATAGATCAGCAACAGTTACAAATCCCAGCTAGTCATATTATAAACAGCCACCCAGTAGCAATATTGCATGCAATAGGAATGCAGCTCTCCCTCCCACATGACTTAGCCAAGACTCCATTCCTGAAGGCAGATCAACAGCAAGAGGAAAAAAAAATGCATCTGTTGCAAGAGGGAAAAACAGGAAAGATGATTCCATGTGGAAGAAATTGGTACTTATTTAGTCACCTTCTGAAGTTGGCACATGCACTGTGGAGACCTCAGCTGTTTCAAAAGATGGCTTCTGTTCTTCGCTACTTTTATTTGTTAGGTTTTCCTCTGAAGTTTCCCTTGGTTTGTAGACAGGATGGTGGTGATAAGCTGTGAGTTAAGAAAAAAAAAAAAGGCTCCTACTTCTGTCAAACTCAAAATTCTACTTAAACCTACTTTTTCTTACAACTTACGTTTTTCCTTTTTGTGGAGCTCTGCATGTTTATGATCATATATATTCTGGATGTTTAAAGCCATCTTCTCATCAATGCCTCCATTTTTCAACAATCTCAGTGCATGGGAATCCAAAAAGTTATGGGACCTCTTGCATGGAAAAAATTTACATCCACCATGGAGAAAGTGTCGACAAATATGAAGCTTGCTGCAGTTGTATGTCTCACTGCATCTATTAGCCTTGTTGTTGTAAAATTGGCAGACCTAGAAGCAAGCAGGATAGATACAATATAGAACAGAAAAACGTATTAGAATCCATTTTTTAAATTTTCTGCCTCCACAGCAGAAAAACTGACTAAAACATATGCATTCTCTGTGACTACAGTAATCTGACCACATTTCTTGCAGAGAACAGCAGGCATGAGAGTGAATTCATGCACAGTTTCACCCAAGAAGAAAAAGAGAAGAGCCAATCCAAAAAGCACTAATTTTTGGTACTCCTGAGCAAGACAGTTACATAAGAGCTTACCAGTTTAGTTACTCCTTTTAAAAACAAATAAATAAAGAACAAAGAACAAGCTTTGCCATGCAAATATGTATATAGGGTCAAATGTGGTGGTATTTCACTGAGCTAAAACTGTCTTTCTGAAAAGATTGCACTTCTAAAAAAGGATAAGAAGTATACTCTGAGATTAGAGATTTATATATTTAAGCTTAGCTGTGGCACAAAATATTACTGGGGTCCTACAGTGCATATTGGGTGTAGGTGTGGAATTGCTGGAAGCAAGGGGGGCCACAAGAGAGACCTCTCTGGGAAGAAGCCAGGGGCTGCTCACTGCCAGATACAGATGGTTTCAATGGACCCACCATAGGACAGAGCTGAAGCCAAGCTAGTGACAGTGCTAGGAAAATGTATTTAACGAATGGCAGAATGCAACACTGCAACACAGTGAGAAAGAATCCCTGAGACACTTGCGTCAAGAGAAGAAGGAGCCACAGCAGGCCAGAGCAGAGATTCCCCTGTATCCTGAAGAGATCACACTGGATCAGGGGAAAGCGTGAAGAGGCAGGAATGGCAGAGAAGGAATGTTAAGGTCTGATCCCACAACCCTCATCCCCATGCACTACTTGGGACAGAGGTTCAAAGAGATAGGGAGACTGGAAATGGAGGAGTTGGGTCTGGGCGAAAGGGTAGGGAGCATGTTGTTGTTTTAGCTTTGTCTTCATCAGCACCAAGTAGCAACACATTAGATAATACTCCCCACGGTAAGTTTGACATGCCCATGACAGTAACTGGTAGGAGATCTCTCTGTATTTATCTTGATCTATGAGCTTTTAAGCTTTCTCATGTTATTTTCCTCATCTTCTTGAGCAGAACAAGAGAGTGGCTGGCAGGGCACCTGGACTAGGCCAATACACTACACAATATTAAAAATGTTTGTATGCTGTTACTGGCTATGCTATTCTTATGTCCAGGTTTGTGACAGACAAATACTAATTGATCTTGCTTAACATATTTAATTTTAGGCCTCTGCCCTGGCTACAGCTGTCTTCCCCAGTAAAAGCACACAACTGACAGTGCAGAAATGACACAGAAGTGGGGAAAGAGACCCTTCAACTCCCATATTGTTTCATTCTGGTAATGAAATCCTATACTGATGTGTATCTGTTAAATGTTTTAAAGTTCCATTTTATTGTTGTAAGGTCTAATAAAGATAAAATTGCATAGGACGTTCACAGAATCACAGCATGGCTGAGGTTGAAAGGATCTCTGGGTCCACCTGACCCAATCTTTGCTCAAGCAGAGCTACCCAGAGGAGGGCCCTCACACTCATGTGCAGACGACTTTCAAAGATCCCCAAGGAGGAGACTCCACAGCACAGAAATGCTTTCTAGTGTTCAGAGAAAGCCTCTTGTGCTCCAGTTTGCGTCCACTGCCTCTGGTCCTGGCAAAGGACACCCCTGAAAAGAGCTCATTTCTGATCTACGTGCACCTTCCCTTCAGGTGTTTGTAAGCAATGAGATCTCCCTGGGTCTACTCTTCTCCAGGCTGATCAGGTCCAGCTCTCTCAGCCTCTGCTCATAGGAGAGATGCTTAAGTCCACTCACCAATTTCATGATTCTTTGCTGAACTTCTTCCAGTACCTCCTTCTCTCTCTTATACAGGCAAAACAAATTCTGAACCTGTTTTTAGCTTACGTATTCATCACTGCAGAGGACCACAGTGGAAGACACTGTAAAGAGAAGACAGTGACTTCACACAAACCTATGCAACATTTACCTGCGGGGATTGGCTGTAGAGGCTCGTGTGACGTTGTTAAGCAACAGCCATTCGGCAGGAGTGCAAGCCGTGACCGTGGACTGCCTTTAACAATACAACCTGTACAGTTTCTAAGAGCACACTCCACGGAGACGGAAAACAGCACAATGCTTGTTCAGTGAACCTTGGCGTATCATGGCAATCAGGGGAAGTCCCTGATGACTGGAAAAAAAGGCAATGTCACAAATATTTTAAGAAGGGTAGAACGAACAACCCAGGGAACTACTGACCTGTCAGCCTCACTTCTGTTCTGTGATCTTCCCCTGCACAGAGATCCTCCTGAAAGCCATGCTAAGGCACATGGAAGACAGGGAGGTGACACAAGACAAGCAGAATGATTTCACCAAGAGAAAGTCCTGCCTGACCAGCATAGTGGCCTAGTATTTTAGAAAAACACTACGGAGATGTAAAGAATAGCAAGAGTGTTGAACCTCACTGTGGATGGGGATTCTGCACAGCATAACACAGCACCTCTAAAGAGGTCTGTCTGATGCTGTACTTTAGTGGGTTCCCACAGCACCAGAAGGGAGACATAAGATTTGTCCTTCTTATAACCATCACAATAAACTCCAAAACCAGAAGAAAGTATTGCCCTAACTACATTGGGAATGCATTATTTAGCTGCAGCAGGAAAGCAAACTACCCCCTGCATTTGCCAGAAAAAGAAGAGGCTGAGAGAGGGTGATGGAAAATACAAGAAAATCCTGATTCTGGACTACATTCTAATTCAGACCACAGAAAAAAAAATATATTCCCTTTACCTGAGGATTTTTGTTTGTCAGCATGCACAGACCCAGTTAGCATTTCTAAACACGAACAGCAAAGCAGGCTTCTACACCTTCACCACAACTCTTGGGTTTATAAATGGCCTGCAACGGGCTGCAACAGCCTGCACTGTTTCACTCCATAACAGAAGTTACAGTGCTCTATTGGAAGGGCCAATTAATGATGTTCACAAGCAATGAGATCTGAACAGATAGTTTTTGAGTAGTAATAGCTATCATTGACTATTTGCTCATTTATTACTACCTGGGAGTAACTAAACAAGAAACACGTAAGTTTTAGATGCAGCTGAGATAGATAAAGATTATTATGCCTCCTTGTTTGTCACCACTATGCTCCTAAAATGTGCCAGCAAAACATACTTTAAAATACTACAAAAAATGCTCTATTCATTTGAAGTCCATCGCTGTCAAAGCAGAAAGAAAGAAAATAATAGAACTGTTAGGATAACATCTGTGGAGACCATAAATTCCAAAAGACTAGAGCAAAGGCAGTGCTCTGTTCATTTGTTAACCAGGAACAGCTGTAGGCAGAATAAGATACACTTGGCTTCTGAAATAGAACCTCGATTGCACTGCCAAGAAGGAGACTGGATTGTTCAGCCAAACTTAACAAAATCAATTAATTGCATAAAAAACAAATAAAGCTCTGTAGGAAATTTATGTACAAAAGCCTTAGCGCACTTTGGAGAGGGCACATTTTACACGGAACTGACTGCTGTTGGTTGGTCATTTTCTCATGATTTTTTTCTCATGCCTGTGAGCATCAAAATACGTAGGTTGGACACCGAAAGGGGCACTCACTTCCCAGACTCTACTATCTCTAGGCTAAGAGCCAACATTTTTTTTTGTTGTTGGCTATTTTTTGTAAGGCCTTTTATACCTTCTAAGCATGTATGATGATTGTGAACTTTGACCTCCATCTTCCTTACGTGACCATCTGTAAATCTCTGGTGAATTTGCTTACATTTTTTGTTTGCTTGCTTTGAGTAAGTCTCTGGCTGTGCTTCTGCACTAACAGAAATAAGAATAACACACAGAACAGAATGGAACTTTATTGTCAACTTCCTGCTCTTTTCTGCTGACAAGTAATACATGACACGTCCTTACCTAAGCGTAGGTCTTCTGGTATTTAAGCAGACAAAATCCTCCTTGATATTTAATATTATTATTTCTGTCATGGTTTTTTGGGTTGTGGTTTTTTTTTTTTTTTTTTTTTTTTTTTTTTAACATTTATTGTTATCAGTACATGGCACTTTTACAAGTCTTACACTATATTATTTCTTCTGATGGTTTCACACACAGCCATTCCCATTCATAGTTAATTCAAGCCAATCTTTATATTTCTGATTAACTTAAGAGCTTGAAATTAATATCAGTTCTCTGTCTTCTTTCTTGCCCTTTCCCATTCCATATAAACAAAAGCTTAAGTAATCAGTACAACTCACATCAGGAAGAAGGAAAGGGTCATTTTGGAGAAGCAGGATTCGCAGCTCACTCTCACTTAGGCGAGATAACTCATGAGTCTTCAGAACTTTTTTGTTCTCGGCACTGGTGATGTCATGAGAGTACTTACAATCTCTGCAAGAAAATGGACAGAAACAACAGATGTTTCAAGTCAAGTTGATTTAAAGAGCCTCAGGTAGTGTGCAACTTCAGAAAAAACATGGACAGAAAGGCACTTTGGCAAAAGTCTCTGTGAACAAGTAGATAGTCTCTGTCACTTCATAATAAGCTAGATTATGAAACAAGCAGTATAAGCACTGTGAAATACAGTTGTGTTATTATACTGATTTTAAACATAAATGTAGATAGACCATTTATCAGACAGCACAAACTCAAAACCGCTTCTGTATGTAGCAGACCAAGTCACACAATCTGACTAGCTGGAGAGAATACTGATTTTAGAGGATATACATCAGCTAATGGTTGAAGTAGCAATGGCCTTGATTTTACGCATGCAAGAGATTGTTGTCCTAGGGGTGGTATGTCAAGAATGTTGCAACAGTTTGAGAGCCCCAGATAAAGAGATAATGAAGCTAAACACAAGTGGGAAGTTAAAAAAATTTTTTAAAGTTAATGAACTCCACGTTTTGGATGAAGATGATTAAACAGCACTAGTAAAAATGTTGGTGCCAATTAGTAACCCAGGACAAACCTGTTAAGAGAATATAATTACAAAGTGGGGGAGATTATAATTTCTTTGCATCTCTTTGAAAATATATTTCAATGTCACCGATAGGAAAAGAAACATGGTTAATATTTATAAAAATGTGGTAAAATAGTTTCCTGACTTCTCGCTCTTCAAAAGCATGATTCAATATTCAATATAGCATTACCATTAGGTATACTCAATAAAAGAGCCTGCTACTCTATCAGGCTTGCATTTCTGCTTTGTTTATCCTGTTAGCCCCTAGTTAACCAGTGAAACTTCTGATAACATTTTACTTCATGCTGTGTTTGATCCATCTGCAACAGACTTTTATGCAGACATTTCACCACCACTCCCATGTGTCAGTGCATTTCTTTGTAAGAAAATAAATAAAAATACAAGGTTTGAGGGGCAGAAATAAACTATTTTTGGTCTGGAGAAGTGGTTTCCTAAGGATACTGGATTCTGCAGCCACTTGATTAATGGCTATGAAAGTAGTGGAACTGCAGATTACCCCAGGTGAGAGCCAATCAGTTTTCCCTCACAGTTAGCGTCACGTTCCACCAACAGTCACATGGTGATCTGCCACCTGAACACATATTTCTAAGTCAAAGGTTGAAATGAAATAGTCTACAAATATTAGTGATGAATAATCAACTGTGTTAAGTGATACATTTATTAAAAAAAGAAAGCTACTGTAGGACAGATGCAAGTTAAAAACAAGTTCAATTTGAATAAAACCCCTGATATCTCTGAACAGGAAGACTCCAGTACAGACAAATTTCTCTCCAACAAAAGAGGATGCAAGATCTAGAAGCAAGTCTTGACTCTTTCCTATCAATTAAAAACAATTCTGTTTTGATCCATGTGGTCCACTCTTTCTGTCCCCTCATTTTAACCGATCTCCCTTCTTTCCAGGTCCTTACCCTGAAAGGCATTTTCTTCTGTTTATCTGTTATTAATACACAAAAGCAATGTTACATGCACAGCACTACTGAGAGGGCAGAACAGCTCATTGTTGCAGCATTACAAAGGAAATCGTTGCACTTTTTAGTTCATACAGTGGTAAGCCAACATATATTCAAATGTATCCTATGTAACCCTAACTTACTGAGTCAGCAAAGCAACAGAATTTTATCATAGAATCATAGAACGGCCTGGGTTGAAAAAGATCATAATGATCATCTAGTTTCAGCCCCCCTGCCAGGCCAGGGTTGGCAACCACTGGACCAGGCTGCCCAGAGCCACATCCAGCCTGGAATCCGCTATTCTGCTTGTACCATTTGCAGACACAAAAGGTCCTTTCCCCCCAGCTTCTTCAGCTCTGAGTGCTGAGGAATTATTTGGTGGAGCAGAATAGCAAGAGGCCTGGCACAGCACCAGGCAGCAGAATGAGTGAGATGCAGCTCACAGGGGTGTGGCAGGAAAGTCTGTAGGAGATCGCTGCTGCTGTGGATTCTTGTCAAATGCTTTTGATTTTCATTTTTGCATTTGTGGGTTTTTGGGTTCCCCCCCCCGCTTACTTTAATTTTTTTTGTAATAGGTGCCACCTTCAGCTAGCCTGGAAAATAAAGAGACTGTTCCCAGAAAGGCCGTGCGGCCAATCCTTCCTTCAGTGAGGCAGAACACAGAGAGCGATGCCAATAGGAAGTAGGTACTGGCTGCTACAGATACGGCTGTGAGCAAAGCGGTGAGTTTCCGCGAACATCAAGCGCTCCTAACTATCGAGATTAACAACAGATGGCACGCAAACACTTGGCTTTTTCCTTCGGAAAGAAACATTTCTGAGTTATTTCAGCGATAGAGGGGAGAAGCCCGCGGGAGGGATCCCTGCCGCCACCTCACCTGTCGCGCCGGCCGCACCTGCCCATAAGGTGCAGCTTGCAGAGGTGCAGGCGGTCGCAGCCCTCGCACTGCTTGCGCGGACAGACCCGCACGGCCGTCAGGGCCAGCACCTCCGGCTCTTTCCCGGAGCCCGTCAGCAGCAGGAAACGCTCGGGGCCCGCCGCTTGCAGAGTCTCTCGCAGCTGCTGCTCCGAGAGGCCGACGTGCTGTTGGAGTTCTGCGAGCCCCAGCCGCCCACCCTTGACGCACAGGGTCTCGGTGAGGTAGCTGCACACCACCGGGTCGCTCATGGCCGCCTCTCCGCCTCAGCCTGCCTCGGCGTGGCGGGACAGGACGGGACGGGACGCGGCAGGAATCGAAACTGAAGGCGCGGGGCGGAGCGGTCGAGGGGCACGGATCCGCCTCCTGAGCGCTTTCGTGTTTCTGTTTGTTAAGGGAAAAAAAAAAATCTTTGCGTGCTCACATAATCTCAGCGTTCACGCAGCAGTGCGGCTACTTCCCTTCCCCCAGGCTGGCAGTTAGATACTTACTTGTTAATACCAGCGGCCACGGTTGTGTCCCTGCAGAGGGTCTGAAACTGAGAAACGATTCCTGCTAATGCTGACATAGGGCTGGGGAAGAAGGGGTTGTAAACTAAAGGAGATTAAATTTAGATAAAATGTCAGGGAGGAGTTTTTCACGGGGAGGGTGATGAGGCGCTAGCATGGGCTGCCCAGAGAAGTTGTGGATGCCCCATCCCTGGAAGCGTGCAAGGCAGGCTAAGTGGGCCCAGGGCAGCCTGGCTTAGTGTTTGAGCTAGTGTTTGGAAGCTCTGCCTGTGGTGGGGGGATTGAACTGGATGATATTTGATGTCCCTTCCAACCCAAGCCGTTCTGTGGTGCTGTCTTTCTACAGCTGTGGTGCAGGCAAAGTGCTGCAAGCAGTGGATCAGAAAGGGCTCAGTGTTAAAGCCATATGCGACCGAATTCAATCTTCAGACTCTTTGGCAATGCAAGCCAAAAGAAAAGTAAACACCATGTACTTGCTCTACATCAGGAAGTTACCCTGAAAGAAAAATGAGTGCCAGCCTGCATTGCCTTGTTCACACTCTTGCTGTGTGAGCATTTCCTATGCAGGTTGCAGAAAGAGAATCACCTCAAAGAACAGGACTGAGGTGGTACAATGAGTTGAAGAAGGAGGCCACAGTATATTTTGTGTTTTTAGAAGTAGCTGATTTGAAAAAGTAGATATACCTATATTTTAGTAGTGTATTTTTAGAAATGTAGTTGTTGAATTGTTGTGTTATGTGATTAGTTCTTGCTTGCAAAATGGTAGTAGCTTTTAGAATAGTTACGGATGTAGCATTATAGAGTGAAAAGCTTGTTTTGACAGGAGACCCTCAGCAAAAGAAGCACAATAATGAAAGCCAGGGCCTCCACACAAAAGGCCAAATTATCTCACTCCAGGTTTAGGTTGAGATGCAACATGCAGACATCAAGATACTCCTCTCTATCCTCCTTATCTTCTAACACACCAGTATATATCACTGAAAGACATGTTGCCAAACTTACTTCTATCCGAAGACAAGCGGATGTCCAGAAATAATGGCTGAGTGCTGAGTAAGCAAATGTTACAATTTTGGTACCTATCAATTAGTCACAGTAGGCGTTCTCCTACTGAGCATGTTTCAATGAAGAAAGTTCATCTAGAGGGCAAGCAAGGAAGACCACTGGATGAAGTGAAAAGACTATGGGTTGGACTGTCATGATGCTAAAAGGACACTAGATGGTAGAACAGACCATGGAATAGAAGACTGGAACCCTCATAAATCACTGTCTGAGATAGGTGTGTGTATGTTAATTGTCTCGCGCGTAATTGATGAATATGTACTACTATCTGTGGAAATATAATCAACTCTGAATCATGTAATCTTTGAAGTGCTTATGGTGGAGATATCCCCAGCGCTTCCTGGTGCTACTAATAAAGAATACACGCCTTAACATTGCCAAAATCGTGCTTGCCCTCTTGTTCTGATTTTTGAACAAATTAAGTAATTTAAATAAAACAGTAGAGAAGGAAGGGTAGAAGGAGGGGAATGTATGATACTGATTCCAGGTAGATGTATTGAAACATTCTGATGGGAAGATACAGGTAATGGAAACAATACCTTGGAAAAAAGGGAGTATTGTCTGTGGTTAATGAACTTGAATGTAGAATACTTTGATCAAGTACTTCTTATACTAATACAGAATGTCTTAGCCATTGATGTAATCTGACTAATCAAAGGATGATTGCTCTCTTTGGAAAACTGGCAAGAGGAGAACTGCTGAGCTTAGGTGACCACATAAGGATAAAAAAAAAAAGGGGGAACATTCATGAAATGACCAGTGAGAGACTCGTAAGAAGCTCAAACAATCTCACACAAGGGTAGGCAGCTGGGAAAGAAGCCCTATGAGGATGGTGTATCATTGCTTTACTGTATGAATATGTTGTAGTTGATGTTTCTTCTATATTAGATAGTTCTCTTCCAAATACACTTAAAATAGTAAAGCTGATAGTTGTGACATTCTAGGTATTTGCTGGTTTTCTTACTATGAAAGCTTGGATAACAATAAATTAATGCAAATGCTTAATAATTCTCTGTAAATAAATGTATCACTTTATAACTTTATGAACTCACTTGTAGCCGTCAGGGAAATCAATTGCCTGCTACACAGATTAATGTATTCTGCTACGTGACATTCTCCATCTTCTCCAGAAGCATCAGTATATAGCAGTGGCTAGACTTATGGTGACCATGACCCTAAGAGAAATAAGGGCACAGGGGGCAGGGTGGGCATGTTTGAGGGACAGCATGACAGGTGAGGCACACACTTCCCCTGTAGAAGCAGAACAGTGTGATGCTCAGCTCTAGTACACTGAGGAGCACACAGCACGAGGAGCAAACAGGAGGGATTTGAAAACCATGCACGGTTGCAGAGCTCTGACCCTATCGAGACTACAGAGACATGGTGGGATAGTTCTCCTGATTTAGAGCACTGCAATGGGTCAGTATAAGCCCTGTGGAACAGACTGAGTAGGAAGCTGAGGAGAAGTGGTTGTATTCTGTGTGAAGTCGGAACTTGAGTATATGGAAATTCATCCAGGAACAGGTGCCAGACTAGCAAAGGCCATAGGTAAAACTCAGATGACATCTCGCACAGGTGATTTTGTAATAGGTTTCTGCTGCAGAACACCTAAGAAAGAAAAGGAGACTGATTAAAAATTCTTTAAGCAGCTGGATAAAACCTCACAGCTGAAGACCTAGGTGCTAAAGGAGAAATTTAACCACTACAACATCAGCCTAAAGGGCAATATGTGTGGGTGCAACTAGTCCCACAGATTTTTGGAATGTATTGCTGATAATTTCATGCTGAAGGTGATTGATGAACAGGATACAGTGGGTGTTTTGTTGAACCTGATATTTTGGGAAGAATCAGTTTAAGATGTCTAGAACAGCCTCTTCTACACCAAACACAGCATTCCAGAGTTCAATATCCTGAGAGGAGTGGGCAAGATAAATAGCAGAATTGCAGCCATGGGCTTCATAAGAGCAGATTTTGGTCTGTTCAGATTCCTGCTTGGCAGGATCATGAGTGAAACTGCCCTGGAGAGCACAGGAGGCCAAGAGATTTTATTGTTCACCAAGCCCAGCTTCCTCAGTGCCCATAAACTGCCCATTACAGTGTGCAGAAAGCTGAATAGTCACAGCAAAAGAGCACCATGAGTGAACACTGATCTCCAGACTGACCCGAGACATGAACTTCAGAAGAGCAGATTTTGGTCTGTTCAGGTTCCTGCTTGGCAGGATCATGAGTGAATGGGAGTAATATAAACATGTAGAAATGCAGTCATGGGTGGCAAGGCTCACAAGGAGATGGAACTAATAAAGGAAGTGAAGAGCACATAGGATTTCTGTAATGACAACAGTGCAAAAAGGAAGGGTAATAAGCTTAGCACAATTTCTGGTCATTGTGAAAGGTTTCATGCAAACCCAAACCTGTAGCAGGGTCTGAACACCCTATCAGACTTGGTGAATTCAAGCAATAGTATGTATGTTGGGGCTTTCGTCAAGGGAAAGGAGATTCTCTCTCTAAGTGTTTTTTATACACACATATTTGTATACCAAACCCAGTAGGTAGTTCATGCTCAATACACTTGTAGATATTTTTCTGTGGGAATTTAGTAGCATAGGAGCACTGCACCTTAGTATTATGTCACTAGATGAACAGTGTTGTCAAAGAAGGGAGGGTTACCATTCAGAAGAACCTGGACAGTCTCAAAACCTGGGCAAACGAGAATCATATCTCTCATTAGTTACTGGTTATATCTAATTTTGGTGATTGAGTGCACCACCAGGCAGTTTGTTGATGGCACCAAGCTGAGTGGTGTAGTTGATACAATAGAAGGGAGAGACGCCATCCGGAGGAACTTGGACAGACTCAAAACCTGGGCACGTGAGAATCTAATGAGGCTTAACAAGACCAAGTGCAAAGTCTTGCTCTAGGGTCGAGGTATTCCCAGATACATGTACAAACTGGGAGCAAAATTCATTGAGAGCAGCCCTGCAGAGAAGGACTTGGGGGTTCCGATGGATGAAAAGTGGGGCATGAGCCAGCTGTGGGCTCTTGCAGGCCAACAGTATCCTGGGCTGCATCAAAAGAGTGGCAGCCAGCAGCGAGAGGGAACCGACTGTCCCCCTGTACTCCACCCTTGTGAGGCCCCATCTTCAGGACTGCGTCCAGGCCTGGGGCCTCCAGTACAGCAGAGATGAGGAGCTGTTGGAGTGGGTCCAGAGGAGGGCCACTACGGTGATCAAAGAACTGGATCACCTCTCTTACAAAGAAAGGTTGAGGGATTTGGCCTTTTTTCAGCTTGCAGAAGGCTCTGGGAGACCTAACCGAGGTCTTCCAGTGTTTGAAGGGAGCTTACAAGCAGGGAGGGGACTGAATTTTTACACAGGCTTGATAGTGATAAAACAAGGGGAATGGCTTTAAACTGAAAGAGGGGAGACGGTAGGAGGAACCAAAGACGTCAGACATTTCTGTGGGTGCTGTCCCCACTAGGGTGCTGTCCCTAGGAACTGTTTAAACTGGCAGCTGTGTCCCCTACCCTTGGTGGAGCTAAGATGCAGCTGCATTGCAGCTGCGCCCATGCCTGGCCACAGGCCAGACCCTGACCCAGATCCACAGGCTGATTTCCCTGCTTGACTTTGGATCTCTTTCATCACTACAGACCCACCTTGCACTCTGAACTCTCAGTTGAGCCTGGTTACTGTTGTCAGATTGGCCATGCTCCAACCGAGTCCTTGAGGACTATATTTGGTGCCTGGCTCCCT